TAAACCATGCGGTATTAAAGAGACAGCTCGCACAATGTAATTAACATCCCCAAAAAATTCACAAGAGCAAGTATATTGCTTGCACATGTTTATTTACATTAAAGGCAAAATAACTAAAATAATAAGAGCACACGTATAGATCTGGAACTTCTTTAAGTCTGTCTAAATATAATTTAGTTATTGCAATGTCTTCTATTGTGTGCTAAATACTGATTAATGTAACAAAAATACTATACATATTTATATATTTTGCTATTGTATTATGAATTGACACTTTGATAAACTTTTCTATATTCCTCTGATTATATAATGGTAAATATTACAATATCATAGCACAACAACAGTGATCAGCAATAATGATAAGCCTAATACTCACAATAAAAATAATACGGTCATAGGCTATAGATCATAACACAGTCTCGGAGGTAAGAAGTGGATTATCCTTCACCTGAAATGTTTGTCTTTTCAACCTGAAATGCGAGGGCAAATGTTGGATCACAATAATTAGGAGCCACAGTTTCCACAAATCCCTTCATTTGATTGGGATGTTCTCCTTTATTCTGGAGGGCAAGGGTAGTGACTGTAACATCCAGCGTATTTTGCAGTATTAAACACATACCGATTTCATCAGGCTCCGAAAATTCTTCTAAAAGAACACAAAGAATGGCCTTCTCAGCTGCCATAGCAGCAACTCTTGCTTCATCAGAACAGCGTGTTCAACACACCACCGTTTCCGTTTAAAACACGTTTTGCACCGTTTTTGTCGGGGCTGAACCGCTGAACGCAGCCCTGGTAGTCTGGTCATTTGGGCGGAGTCTAGTTTGTCAGCATCACCTGACGACTGTAAAAGTCATATGACAGTCAGAGAAAGGGAAGCTTAAACCGCAGGGTCGCAGGGGTCTTCAAGTCTTGTGTACGGGTCCATGTCCATCAGACTGTGAAATGTCTTCTCTGCGTGTCTTCTTCTGTCTTCTGTCCGTCTCTGTGCTTGTGGCGAGCGGCATGTATGATCCAGATGAGGTGCTGGATCTGCCGGGCATGTCTTTTAAACCCAATTACCGCCAGTGGTCAGGATATCTGAAGGCCAGTTCTGGCAAGTTTTTGCATTATTGGTGAGTTTTATTAGTCTTTTGTCTTAAAGTTATCAGCATGAGAATATGCAGCATGTTTTGTTTGTGATGAGGGTATGTTTAGGCGAATGGCGTTTCCGCATTCACGCCGAATGAAAAACTAAGATGTTTTAAATGCAAAAAGTGTTTTTAAAAATCGTTTTTTAAAATATTTATATATAATATTGGTGATATCATGGTCCTTTGAAGTGCTGTGAAGCTAGGACAGTAGTATTATATATTACAATATTCATTGATACCATTGTATGGTTCCTGTCTAGAAAAGCATTGCATTACATTTTGTTCGTGTATAAAACTATTATTTTTTTAGTACTGAATTGTTATTGTGAGTAGTAGTAGTACTGTGGAAAGAGACTTTCCTCTGGTGTAAATGTACTATGGTTTGAGTCTCTTCAGTAACACATAATTGTTTTGTGTATTCATTATTGCATTTTAGAGAGTGTGTATATGTTACAGGTTTGTGACGTCTCAGAGGGACCCGCTCAAGGACCCAGTCGTGCTGTGGCTGAACGGAGGGCCAGGCTGCAGCTCTTTGGATGGGTTTCTGTCAGAGAATGGCCCCTTTCATGTATGTTGATACTTATCATGATTTAATCTTAAAGAGCTAAGAACTAAAGAACTGACATTTTAGAGACGGGAAAAAACATTTATGTAATTTCATTCGTTGAGGTCTAAATAGTTTTTCCGCACAACACAAAACCAAAAATGCCTCAATAAACATTGTGCTTGTTCTGTGTGTCCATAGGTTAATGATAATGGAGCCACACTTTATGAGAACGAATTCAGCTGGAATAAAATCGCCAATGTTCTTTATCTTGAGTCGCCTGCTGGAGTGGGTTATTCCTACTCCGATGACCAAAAATATCAAACCGATGATGATGAGGTAAGTGTCTAAACATTCATAGATATTAATAGCCTATAAAGAAAGACTTTGTAAAGCCTTAATGTGTTTCTTTAGGTGGCAAATAACAACTACCTGGCTTTGCAAAGCTTTTTCATCAAATTCCCAAATTTCACCCAGAATGAGTTTTTCATTTTTGGTGAGAGTTATGGAGGCATCTACGCACCCACACTCATTCTGAGAGTTGCCACTGGAGGTCAGCTTAAAGTGAACTTTAAGGTAGGTTTAATGTGCTTGTTTCATTTTTCAAATGTAATTTATTATTAAATATAATGTATAGACCTTATGTAGCTCGGCCCCTTTTTAGCACTGTGCCCGTTGTCTTCTACTGACATTCATTATAACATCAGCGTCGAACATTACAATGCACATTATAACTTTCGTTAACTCTACAAAAAGTAAATCCACTTCAACAGCTCATTACTCTTAAACAGAGATGCTATAGAGCTCAGGAAATTCAAAGACAAAATTCTGAAGTTGGCTGCGCACTTGTTTCTCTGACGCATAAAGTCTGTAAAATGTAATTTGTTGTTTACTAATATTTGAACACAAATTATACTTAATTTGTTTTCTGTTGAAATATCTATCTGTCTTTCTATCTATCTATCTATTTATGTCTTTTCATTTTAATCATTTATTTGTTTGCTTTTGCAGGGCTTTGCTGTGGGAAATGGCATTAGTAGCTTTGCACTAAATGACCAATCGCTAATCTACTTTGGCAACTATCATGGCCTGTTTGGAGAACAGTAAGCTAATCAATTACTTCTATATGTGGCCACTCGTGTATATCTATATTGCAATACTGACAATAAATATTTTGATAAATGTTTGTTGATTTTTTTTTTTTTTTTTTTTTTACATTATTTTGCTTGTAGGCTGTGGAAGGATCTGAATGACAACTGCTGTCAAAATGGAGTCTGTAATTTCTACAACAATTCTAAAGAGTCCTGCTCCGTTGTGGTAACCTGAATGCATCCACACATGCCTGCAACTCGTGTACAACCTTGCCAATGGTTATTTAAGATGACTAGTCTTCTGTCTTTTGCAGGTATCACATGCGTTTAATATAGTCTATAACTCTGGGTTGAATACGTACGCGCTGTATCTTGACTGTGCTGGTGGTGTCACATCTCAGAGAGCCATGATGCATCTGTTCAGAAACTTCAAGAAGCATTGGGAAGCTAATAAGGTGAGTCTTCTTCTATCTGATCATGCAGCCTTCCAAGAATCCACTTTAATAAACTAGATAAAACAAAGGAGAAATGTGTTTTCTTTGGTTTGTTTAGTTAGTAGGAAGTACTCCAAATGTTCAGGGAGTGCCTCCATGCATCAATAGTACCGCTCAGATAAACTGGCTTAATCGAGGTGATGTGAGGAAGGCGCTGCACATTCCTGATGTACTACCACCATGGGACATCTGCAGGTAAACTGACCCCTATCCCCACATACAGTTTCAGTGTGTGTGTATGCATGAGCAGCGCATGTGTTTATACAGAGTTCTTCCTTTTTTATCCAGTGATGTTGTGGGAAGCCAGTATCACACCATTTACGAAACTATGAAGGATGTCTATGAGAAGCTGCTGGCTTTGGGTCTGAGAGCTTTGGTCTATAATGGAGATACCGATATGGCTTGTAATTTCCTTGGGGACCAGTGGTTTGTTGAGCAGCTTGGACAGAAGGTAAGTTCTGTGTTCTCTGAGACGTGATGCTCTGCAGAATTTGTAACACCTTCTAGGTTTAATGTTGAGTTTCTCTTCTTCTTCAAGGCAAGCACTCAATACCAACCCTGGATTTATGATAACCAGATTGCTGGATTCTACCAGCAATTTGGCAACATCACTTTCCTCACAGTCAAGGTACGTTTCAGGCATCCATGCAGCCTGTCTTGCTCTTTTCCAATGTGTAGTTAGTTCAAGCTGTTATTGTCATGATATACAGTGACATGACATACAGTGTGTGTATGTGTATTATGAGTTTGACATTTTTACATGTACTAAGGCATGGCATACAACTCTGCTCTTCCAGGGTGCAGGTCACATGGTTCCTCAGTGGGCTCCTGGTCCATCTCTCCAGATGCTACAGAGTTTCCTGTCCAATAAGCCTTATTGAACTTCCTCCAGACCGTGTCCTGTCTTAAAGCACTAGATCTGATTTTTAGAAGTGGTCTTGAATGGACTTCAAGAAAGTGTGATTTTAAGGAAACTGTTGAAATGTGACATGAAGCTGCACAGTAATTTTCTCAGGGACTGTTGGGTGTACGTGTGTTTGCATATGTATGGGAATTTTGAAATGCTTTTTGTTTTTTAATTGCTTGGATCTTTTTAAACCAATTCTTCATTGAACACTAGGGGTGGTTTTCACAGTCATGTTGATCATAACAAAATCACGTTATCCCAATTTTATATATATATATTATTTTTTATTTAAAAAAAAAAACTGTTTAGTGGATATCACATGGTTTTAAAATGCTTATTTTGTCCTTAAATCATGGGTTACTGTTAAGGGATCTGTTCATTGAATACGTGGTGAGATGTACTGAGGACAAATATATTTATAGTCTTAATTTTGTTCCTACCCTTGATACACTCAACATTGAAACAAATTTATACTGTTCTTAATTATTTGGATCTATTGTTATAAATGGTTTACAATCCTATCTGATTGGCAAATCCTCTAAGAAGGATTATATGAATGAGCATATAACAATCCGTTTGACCAAAGATATTGGAATCAGTATAAACCAAGAAATAAAAAAGCTGTTTTAGTGTGTTTTGTCTGTGTATATCTGTATTCATTAAGATTATGATCTGACTAATGATATGGCAACTCTTGATCACAACAGCATCAAGACGTATTGACATGAGAAATGAAAATTGACCGATTTAAGTAATACGTGTGGTAGAGTATATATTACGGTGGCCGAGAAGTGCAAAGCAGATCACAATTCTGAAAACAAATTACAAACGCAAATGCAAGTCTAAAAAACAAAATAACAATTCAGAAAGCACAACAACAATTCAGAAAACATTATAACAAGTCAGAAATGACAAATTCGAAAACAAAACAAGTCGGAAAACACAACGACAAAGTTTGTAGGTATAGTTTGAGACAGTGCCATTGGTTTGGGATTACTCACCGCTGACTGGACGAGACATCTGTCAATCAACGTATACAGGAAGAACCAGCCGAAGAACAGCAGAGTCGTGGTAGAAAGTTCGGAGATGGTATTAAAGTAGCTCAGTTTAAATGTATTGTATGAATTGCCCTTACTATGGAATAAAAAATACAGGGTATATTTACATTTAGTTAAAAGTGTCTGTAACTCATCGGTTCTAGTGGCGCAGATGGATAAGTGTGTGTTGTTGGCTTTGTGACGCGATCGACCCGGGTTCAATCCTGCCTTTTACCAAACTTTTTTTTCCTCCCTTTTCAAATGTCGTATTAGCAATGGATTCTATTTACACTAAGTGAAAATAGCAGTATTTTTAGCAATATGCTATTTACACTAAGTGCAAATACCTAGTTACACTATGTTAAAATAGCAGGATTTCTACTATCAAGTATACTACTTGTTGCAAATAGTGGCAATTATCTGCACTTCAGTAATATAGTACATTATAAAACAGTATGCAATAATAACGTATTGAGTGTAAATTATAATTTTAATTATTAAATGGATGCCACCTTATTGGTACAATAAAGCCCTCCCTACACCTACCCTAACCCTACCCCATACTTTATTTTCAACTTTTTGATTATTTCCTTAATTTTTATTGAAAATAAATGCCTTTACGATGTGATACGAGATTTGAAAAGGGAGGAAAAAAAAGTTTGGCAAAAGGCGAGATTGAACACGGGTCGATCGTGTCAAAAAGCCAAGGGCAAGCGCTAATCCATCTGCACCACTGGAGCTGATGTTTTACTGCCACGTTTAACTAAATGTAAATATACACTCCGTATTTTTTATTCCATAGTAAGGGCAATTCATACAATACATTTAAACTGAGCTACTTTAATACCATCTCCGAACTTTCTACCACGACTCTGCTGTTCTTCGGCTGGTTCTTCCTGTATAAGTTGATTGACAGATGACTCGTCCACTCAGCGGTGAGCAATCCCAAACCAATGGCGCTGTCTCAAACTATACCTAGCTTTTCCGGTTTGTCTGATTTGTCCTTGTTTTCTGACTTAATTTTTTTTTTTCGAATTTGTCATTGTGTTTTCTGACTTGTTATAATGTTTTCTGAATTGTTGTTGTGCTTTCTGAATGGTTATTTTGTTTTTTAGACTTGCATTTGGGTTTGTAATTTGTTATTTTGTTTTCAGAATTGTGATCTGCTTTGCACTTCTCGGCCACCGTAATATATAGAGAGAGGAAACAGAGATTTTAGATATCTGGATATGGAGCTGGTAATAGAGGAGAGTTCAATGGCAGTAACATCTTTTATCAAAAACTGTACAGTAGGTGGCGTTATATGCCACTTCTACTTGGTCGTATCCACCTAGGCAGACGAAGAAGAAGCACCAGAAGTTGGTTTGCCATCCGCCATAAAACGTTATTAGAAGAAGAAGAGGAAGAAGAAGAAGAAGAAGAAGAAGAAGAAAAGGCGTAAAGTCAGCAGTCACTCGAACGTGGTTGATACACGTGTGAGGATAATCAGGTAACAGAAATGTTATTGTCGGTTTACACAAAGAGTCACTTTTGCAGTGCATGTTTTTACTGATCTCTGTAGAGTGTAGAACAACTTTTATTTAGTTCTCTTGTTGAACTGCACCGTGTTTAAGTTTCCGTGTCTGTGTGACTGTGGGAGCTACGCTGCGGTGCAACAGTATCTCTCTTTCTCTATCGTTTGGGCTTTATCTTACTGCAGGTTCTGCCCTCGTGAAAAGAGAAACAAAATATTGTCTGTTCATAATATGAGCTTCAGATATAAGCTTCTGTGTGGCTCAAATTTCAAACTTTTCACTCATGTTTCTTTGTTTAACAGCAGCTGGAAGAACACATCGGTGTAGAAGAAGAGGAACCGTGCCCTTGGATGTTTTGTACTAAAGAGATATATTTTGTTTTATTCTTTTATATTTTTACAATATAATTCACGTTAATTCATAGTCACTGCATTTAGTTCTTTTATTGTTAAACTATAGGCTACAGCATACTCGGTATGAATCCTGAGCTTTATAGCAGCTTGCAATGTTGTAAGTGGTATTACATTTTAATTATATTTAAGTGGATTTAAAAAATAATAATAAAAAAATGACTAAAACACGACCACTGGAAGTCTCATGATTGTACAGTAATTCTGCTGAATGGTTGTAAATAATTGTTAAAAGATAAATAAAGCCATAAAGCTTCCAATTATTGTAATCAAAGTTTCACCATTAACACATTTAATGCATATAAGAGACTGGGGCTATTTGGCACGAAGCTACAAAGTCTGTAATTAGATTTCTTGGCAGTAATTTTGTATGTTAGGTTTAAACAGTTACAATGATAACTTATTTAGCTGTAGATGTTGAGTAAATAAGCAAACATAATAAAACCACGCTGAGTTTAACATATTAGGGCAAAGGTATTTTTCACAATTTTCTCTGAGTTTTCACATGTGTGTTATTGGCACATTTAATGTCTTGTGTGTCGTAATTGTTTCACTTTTGCGGAAAAGTGAGGTGTGACATTATAACCAACTTTTGGGGGATGTTATCACTGAAGGGCAACATATGTTCAGTAAACAGATTTACAAGTCTGCCCAGGTGTACGTAGTTGTACAGTAAGACGGTAAGGTTTCACTGACTGTGTCCCACCATATATAAGTTTGAAGTCCGGTTCTCCTGCATCCTCCGGCCAGACCAGACAGAATCGCCGCAGCACCGTGACCAGGATGAGGAAGAGCTCCATGCGAGCTAGATTTTCTCCTAAACACACACGAGATCCTAGAGATTAAAGTAAATGTACATTATACAAACAAACTGTTCTCATTCTACCACAGATATTTTATTCATGTACTGTATTGTTAAAATCATACTGACTCCTGTTTGTGTAATATGTGAAATTAATCAGCGCAATGACATCCACCAATGGCACTAGGCTAAATGAGTGCTATTGATAAATATCCACGGTGTTTAATCAAAGACCTCATTACACAGTGTAGTAAAACACTTATAACATACCTGCAGAGAAAGGCATGAATGCATCAGGCTTCACAAATTCCCCCTTATCATTCAAGAAGTTTTGAGGGTTGAATTCATGGGGAAACTTCCACTGACTTTCCTCTCTGAGAGCAGATGACAGATAGGGGATGATAATTGTCCCCTGTAAGAGTAAATGTTTTAAATTAGCAATCCTCCCTTTCCGTTTACAGTAAAGATGCTGTTTATGGCTTGCAATAATAGTTTGGCAATGGATTGATTTGTTAAGATTAAATAATAGATAGTTGTTCTTAATTACTCTTTCATGTAATTTTTTATATGTGCCATAGTAACTCTATAACTGTATGATGAAACTGCTGTTGCCATTCAGTAATTATAGTAAATGTCACCTTTGGGATGTTGTAGCCCCGGAGCTGAGCGTTGGTTGTAACCATTCCAGAACCTTATTTTGCTGCACATTATTCATTCATGCATAGTCCAAAAATAAATCCATAACCCAGACAGGAAACATCTTGTTTTTTCATTTTTAGAAACATAAAATTGTATTTAAAAAACATACACATACACGGTCGCCGTGATTTTGCCAAGTAAGACATGTTCCTGGATCAACATCTTTTGTTGATCCTGGATCGACATTACTGTCCAAAAATATAGACTAAACCCAATCCCTACCCCTAAACCTAACCCTACCCATAATTTATTCCTAAAATCGGTGTGGAATGATAGCTGATTAACAAGGGTGTAGAAGCACCTAATCTTGATTGTAAGCCTAAAACAGATATTTCCTGAAAAGTTATCTCTCAATTCTGATTGGTTGATTGGAATGATGTTCCAGGATCAACAAGGCTGTTGATCCACGAACATGTTGTACTTGGTCAAATCACACTCACCATTACTCCACAGCTATCATTTTAGGACAATTTTAATAAATTAATTAAAATAATTCATAACTAATCTTTAGCCCCCCCCCCCCCCCCCCCCACACTCAACACAATA